GAGGGCTCGGCTACTGAGGGATCGTTGTTGCCATGGCGACACCAACCCCGTCCTCCGGCAGTTCACCATTTCTACCCGTGCGCTACACCGATCCCTCCGACCTCGAGGGAAGGCGCGATCCATATCTGCTAACGCGAAGTCACGTTTCAATGGCCATTTTGTATCGGGACAAGAAAGGATCCTCGCCCCTTCCCCGAACTCCTTCGCCCGCGTTCCACCTTTCCACGGTTCGAATTCTTTTTTCTTCCTGGGAACGAAAATCTGCCCGATCTTTGCCTCGTCCGAATGGAAGATCGGATCCAAAACAGACGCGCATTTGGGACTTAAAATAAAGATTCCTATTTATGCTATTGATACGCGCGCGCTTTAATCGAGAGTTATTTATTAAACAAGAAAAGTTGGAGGTAATGACACGCATCAGTTCGTTGTCGTTAATTACGGCAAACGGTGAATTCGTGGGAGAATTGCATCGTTGGAGATGTAAATAGGGAAGCGACGAGGAAAACGCCAAGTACAATGAAATTGTGTAATGAACGTGTCGAAGAAATAATGGGCATCGAGAACGACCGGGAACGAATTTTTCGAAACAAAGAATTTTTTCGAACACGCGAGTGATGATTAGAAGCAATATCGTATTCGTAAACGTGTAATTAGTCGCTTTTTACGTAATTTTCACTGACCTAAGCGTCGACCGTTTATCTGGAGCGGCATATCGAATAAAACTCGACGAGGAATCCAGGTATTGCAAAAGAAAAAGAAGGAAAAAAAAANNNNAGAAAAGAAATATATCGAAAATTCGATAAGATAAAATTCCAATGGATATCGAAATTGGATAATACTTTTTAAATCAATAAGAAAAAAAAGAAAAAAAAAAAGAAAAGAAATATATCGAAAATTCGATAAGATAAAATTCCAATGGATATCGATCTTGGATAATAATTTTTAAATCGATAAGTAAAACGAGGACGACGACGATTTCGATAACGAACGGCACGTTTTTTCCAAAGCATTAGTCGCAAGGTCTCCACGTTACGCGAAGTGCTTTCGACACATTCCTACAGCACTCAAACTCACCCTACCCGCCGCGTAACCCCGGCGCCCTCTCGACGATACATAGGGGTGCACTGTCGCGTCACTTGCGCTTTGCGATCGTCGAGGACCGATTTAAGAGTCATGGCTCTCCACTCGATTATAACGTTAAGAGGAAACAATGGTTTGGATCGGTAATTAAACAACGGGAGGGAACGATCGAGGTTACGCTGCGAGGCAGGGTAAGAAAACGTTCCGATCACGTGTCGCGATGGAACGCGTGGGCGTGAAGATATCGTCGATATATTTTCCCTTCGATATAACTAATATACGAATATGTCTCGCAACTCGATTAAAGGTTAATCGAGTAAAGGGAAAAAGAAAAACAAAAGGCGTTCTCTTACGTATTCGACTCTCGATATCAAAGTCGAACGGCATAGTTCGTACTCCAATTTCTACATTATTGTAATCGTGCTCGGCAATCGAGTAAGAGGTTTCCATCGCCACCCCTGTTCGCGGTTAACAAGAATTCAAAATGGAGGTGAGGCGCGATCAGGGGCGCGCGTGCACATCCCCTGCAATCGAATTTCAACACCGTCGTCGTTCTCGTCGTCGTCTCTGCCTATTCGCTATACGAATTCGATAATTATTTTTTCGCGAAATCTGGGGATCTCGATCAGGCGATCCTCGACTTTCCCCTTCGAACGATCGACGATTCGTCGAGGGTGCGATGAGAAAGGAATATATATATATATATATTCTTTCGAGACTCGGGGCTGAGCTGCGTGGCGGAGACCCATTTGCGATGCAGGTAACTCCACACCCCCCTCGAGGTATCTTCCAGCTTCGGCTTCCTGTACGTGTGCACGTACACCGATAAACGCGGTGTGTGCACGCGCGTGATCGGTGCGCCTGTGGTGGACGATGCACATGCAGACACCGGCAAAACCTATCTGCCATGCACGATCGCTCGGTTGCATATAAGCCGAGACGCGCAGCACGTCATTACGCGGGCAGAAAGCAAAAAGACGATAGCCTCGCGGCCGGCCAATCGCCGTTCGCGTGCTAATGAATCTGAACCGACCCGACCAATGGCGGGACCCCGCTACGCCGTTCGTGAACCCGGTGTAACCCTCGTGGCGATGCCGCGGTACCAGAAACTCGGGGTGTGGTGTACACGCGGCCGTTTTTCGATCAGGAATCCTCCTCTTTTTCTGCGATCGGGGAATTGCGGAACGACCGGCCACGCGGCGGCCACGATTTTTCGAAATTTCCAATGGTTATTACGCAACGCCCTAACCCCCTTCCCTCTCCCTCTCTCTCTCTATCTCTATCTCTTTACCTCCCCTTTAGGTTAATTTATCGACTCGAACAAATCTTCGAACGAGATACCACGGTAGAGATTAACCCCCTGCGAGATCGTTTGCCCGTGTTTTAACTATCGCGATACCAGTTATTGTAATTTAAAATCGGTATAAAATTCGGTGTTTAAAATCGGTATAAAATTCTTAATACAACGCGTATTCCTTTTATCGTAATCGTAAAATAACATTTGACGAATAGTGTTAACGAGGAACCGCGAAGGCCTCCCCTTCCTTCACCCGCGACTCCAATATTTCGTTCTAACTCGTTCGTCGGGCGAACGTGATTCGTACGAATTCGTTCATAAATAAACAGATCCTCCTCGCCCCCAGAAACTGGGAACGCACGAACCGCGTGGGTAGTCAGACGCGAAAGGTCTTCGTATACGCGTGCATAAAGCTAAAGAGGGAAAAAGAAGAAAGAGAGAGAGAGAGAGGAAAAGAAAAAAGAAGAAGGGCGAGGTTCCTGGAGGAACGACGAGTTGCAACACGGCAAGGAACACGCTCATTGTTTCCCTCCTTCTCGGGCTCTCCTCGGTGGATGGCCGGCGACACGTAAAGTGCGTGCACGCGTGCATGCGTGCCTGGATGCCGTGCAGAGAGCGGCTCGATGCATGTGCACACGGCGCGATGTACAACCGCTACAACGATGTATAGCCGATCCAACGTGCACAGAGCGGCTCGG